TTCAAAAGTTTGTTTGAAAAGAATTTAAGTTCTAGAAGCCATAGAACTGAAACCCGGAAAAAATCAACTCATTTTCGTTTTTCACGTTGCTGTTGTTGCTGCAACTGATGTTACAGTTACTGGAGTAAACTTTTCAAGCAAACCACAGACATGCCAAAAAAAAAAAACTGAAAATCGCCGCAACAGTAGTAAATGCAATAAACCAGAAATAACCAATTTATTCTTTACAAGATTATAGGCACTTTATAGAATCCTTTACGAAACATCAATTACTTCAACAAATATTTTCTTTCGAAAGAAAGTTATTTTTTTATGTCCTTTTCATTTTTTGACGCGCCCCCACACATTGTTTAATCACTGAGGAAAATTAGCGGCACCGGCATCATCAACATATTTGCCGAAAGAAACCATTCTGAGCCTGAGAATGTGAAAGAGGTGCTGAAGGGAGGAATAAAGACTATAATTAAGCTGTAAAAATCATAACAAATCTTAATCTTTCTCTAAAAACCTCACTGTTTCACTCTCCTTTTTATTTGTTATAACTGCAAACCAAATATTAAATGGAACTACTAAAGGAATAAAAAATGAGTCAAATTTCGAATAAATTATCCCATGGAAAACACGATAGGATGATTAAACTAAAACAGGTGAGCAGTGAAATAACAACAGAGCGCTGAAGACATATCTTGCAACAGTAACAACAATAACAACAACAACAAGAAAATTCAAAAAAAAGCATCCAATTATTTGAATCATAAATGCTAAGTTTGCTTCTCCAAATGACAAGTCCAAGACTGTTAAAAAATTCAATACTGTAACTTAGACAATTCGTATTACCAAAATAAAATTTCTTTTTCTGCAGATATGCTTCATTAAAACCTCAATGCACCAATCTTATTCGCTCTCTTCCAGTGTCTAAAAAAATTCAACTAGCCAAAAAAAGTAATTAAGGTTTTAGTGATGAGATTCCTAAAAAGAACAAGTAAAACAATTTTAGCGACTAGAAAGTTTGAAAAACGGTAATCTTTTGGCCATAAATTGATTTTTCTTACCCCCTCTTCTGGTGATTATATGCCCTGGAGACACATTTGATTTAAATTTTCCGGTTTTAAAACGCATTCCTTCTCTCTTCAAGCACTTCTCATCCGTTTTCTGAGAGCCATAAGAAATCCAAATTGCAAGACGACAAATACTTCAGATGTTTTGTTTCCCTTTCCTTCTTTTTCATTTTGCGACAATCATTGTGTAAGAACAACATGTACCCGGAAAGACTACAATTTCAGAGTTACCGATAAACTGTTAATCACTGAAAAACATTTGATCATGCCATATGAAAAATGACTAGTTTACAATTTTCAATCAAGAAATGCCAAAACCCTCATGGAACAAAATTCAAATGATTGCTGCACGAAAATGAATTCAAATCCAATCCAAACGCTTAAAAAAATTTCATTTTTTCGATGTTATGCTTAGCTGAAAATTGTGAAATTGACGTGTGATCTGTAAACCAAAAGCAAAAGCAAATAGAACTAAAAAGTAACCTCAGTAGTTAACAGCTTTTTAAAAGACAAGGAATAGAAATAAGAAAAAAAAAAGTCTATATGCAGTATAAATATACATGCACTGTACAATATATGGTAAACAGAAAGCTTGTCGAGTATTTGACGTCAAAACGTGTATGAATGTGAAGTGAAAAACACGCTGCAGTAGAACTCAAAAATCATTTCTGTCAATAAGAAAAAGCAGCAGCATCCTTATTTCAGCCCTTAAAAGCTTCCATTTTGTCAAACCACTGATCTAATACCAAGTCAAAAAAATCCCATGTTTATCTATCCTTGTCACAAGTACTTACTGCTATATGAAACCAAAAATCTTGCACAACAATAACACTGCCTTTACGTAGCATTTACGAAAAACCTCCATGACTTAAGTGAACAGAATAAACATCTTCAAAGAAAGCCTCCATTATATAACACAGCTTTCAAGAAGAATGAAAAAAACAACGTGACTACTTCTTGAAAACAAAAAAAAAAAATCAAGAAGTGGTTCATGAAATACCCAACAAAAAATTTACGCCATCTTTGATAAAAAATAATATTTGAAAAAAAAATACAAGACAAAAAAAAAGAAATAAGCTTTGAAACTACTGCAAATTGAAAAGTGAAAAAAAATGGAAAGAAATTTCCACTTCACATCAATAAACAGCACCACATTACCCAAACAATATGTTGTCCTTAAAAGAGTATTTAGCAAATAACAAAAAAATTGTGGTTGTCCCGAAAAACTGGAATTGCAACAAATTCTAATCGATGACTAACGTGATATAACCGTAAACACTCGGCTCTTACACAGCTGAATTATGTTCCTTGTCCTTTCCTACACTTTATTCATCCTCAACACCTTAAAAATAAAGCTCAAAGAATAGGTGAACGTGAACGATGAGCAATAAAACAAAGCTGTTCTGCTTCTGCACGGCATACTTGATTCCACCTAAGAGCATAAAAATTAAAAGAAAAAAGGAAAATAGGAAACGTTCCATTTAAGAAAAAACTATTATCGCTAAAATCCTAAAAATATTCACTAGCAATCAAAGTTCCTAAAGCTGCTATAAAAACCTTAATAAACGATAGGACTGAACAAAAAGTTCCGACGTTGTTAAAAGCGCAGAAATAAATCAGTGCTACAGTCGTATTTCCAATGTGCTCTGTACTGAGGATCACTGTACAAAAATATGTTCCCTATAGTTCTAAGAAAATGATGCATAAACACGAGTAAACTCAAAACTTACTACTTTCAACAGTAATTTGTTTCAGTCATGAGCTAAGCAACTTTTGGTATAAAGGAAAAAGATAGAAGAAGACGTTAAATTTGTTCCGTAGATAGATATCTGCGCTCAAAAAAGCAAAAATTTTTTTGAACACATCTCAATTTTGTCTAGCGCCAAATATTAAGTTGCTAAAAAACCTTTCTTATTCAAACTGTCTTTTTCTACTTAACCATAAATTGTTATTTTCTTTAGACTACAATAAACTTCAGCACTGATATACAAAAATGAACTAGAAAAACGTTATTTCGAAAAAAAAATAATTGTAATTTTTGAAAAAAGTAATAACTTCTGTTCACCTAAATGGCAAACCCATAAGTTAGACGTAAAAAACTAATGTAAGTTTCTCTTGCTTCCAGTAAAAACTCTGATCTCTAAATGAGGAGAATCCAAATTGCAGAATAAGATCTTAATATGTCATTGTACCTCCAAGCTCAATCACAACAATTTTCTTTACTTTTTCCTAGATCATAACGATCTGCAAACAAGAAACAGATATCTCGTATGCAAAAAAAAACATCTAATCTTTCAGAACTGACTCACACATAAACCAATAAACTCACCTGACATCCACAATTTGCAGTAGGGTACAGTTCTAACCTAACAGCTAAAAACAGAGATTTTATTTGAGAAGTTATTTACGAAACAGTATCTCTAAACTGGAACATTTTTTTCTACATTCTGAAATAAAGCAAATATGGCAAAATAAAGATGGTTTTCTTAGCCAAAAAGCTCTAGAAATCGTCGTCGAGATCCAAGAATCTCTAAATAACAAGGAAGAAAATAAAGATGAAAAAAAAAAAACAGAACTAATGCCGCAGATTACGATGACTTGACAGCAGTTATAAATCTATGCCTAAGCTAGAAAAATTCTACGAGCACCCTTCGCAAAAGAAACGGAATTCCCCTAATTTCCTCCCTTCCTTTGGTCTTAACAAGTGTGCGCAACATAACAGGTCTAATATCAGCAAAATTTGCTGGCTATCCTTGTCGGCAAGTAAGAACTTTTTATTACGCTGTTCCTGTAGCTTTTAGATCAAGCTTGAGTAAAGAGGGACTTCGCACACGTTGTCGTCATGTCAGGAGAAAAAAAAATATATAATAAAATTTTAGACAATCTTGAAAATCTAGATTTTTTAAAATACATAACTATTAAACTGCAACACATTCAGAAAACAATGAACCCGTCGTTAAACAGCACTTTCACTTGCCCTTTATCAAAACACTTTGACAAAATTAAAAACTCGGATTTCCGCACCAATAGCAGTCTTAAAAACTTAAACTATAAATTACGTTTATCGGTCTATATCTAAAGAAAAATAAAGTCAATAAAATTTATAAATGTAAAAGTCAACAGTGGTAAACAAGAACAAGGCTCAAATATACGAAGAAACTACATTTAGAAAATAATGAGAGTGACACCAGAGAAATATTTAGAAAAATCCCTTAAAAAATGTAATATTTTTCAGCAAGTGGCTAACAACTATAGCAATAAACAAAATAAATTATTAGCCGTTTAAAGCCGTTGTTCCCTCCGTGGATAGCCAAAAAAAAAAACCAGAAAAGAACAATGATTTTCATAGGAAGAACAAGTACTCTAAAATACCAAAAATGGAAATGAGATAACCATCAAAACTTATTGAAAGTAATTGAAGCAAACGAAAATTTCATAATCACCTCTTAATAACCTGCCAATTTACGTCATTTTCATTAAGTTGTCTTTCTAACAAAAACCAATAAAAGGATTTTAGTGGCAAACAAAGATGAATGAAGCCTAAACTTACTGGACCTTAACCCA